TTTTTTTTATTGTCATACCAGCTCACATTTTCATGTTTGTGGTACAAAATACAGAATCAGGTCCCAGATCAAGAAGCCTAAAAATTAACAAAAAAATAAATACAAAAGAGTATAAATAAATATATATATAATAAATAAAGTTAAAAAAATGTAAGATGAAGCTGAATTAAGCGCAGCTGGAGTTCAGCAGTCTGACCGCTGCAGAGAAGAAATTGTTTCTGAGCCTGGTGGTCTTGCTCTGAATGCTCCTCAGCCACCTGCTTGAGGGGAGGGACTGGAACAGACTGTGTGCAGGATGAGTGGAGTCCTTCATGATGCGGAGCGTCCTCCGCCTGCATCGTGAAGTGTAGAGGTCCGAGGTGGTGGGAATCCTGTTCCCCACAGTCTTCTGAGCAGCCATCCCACCATCATTTTCATTTATTTTCATAATTTTTATTTAATGTTTACTGTGACTCCATGGAAAAATACAACATACTTTTCAGCAATTTTATTTTAAAACATAATCAAGCAAACATTTTCTGATCAAATTGTATGGTTAGTTTCTTCTGTTAAAAGCTAATTCTTCTTTTGTCACTGAAGGATGGAGAGGAACTTTCTGCCAATGAGAACGTGAAAATAGTGCAACACGGCGCCCGCTGCTCGCTGACCATATTGTGCCCTGAGGGGGAGGACAGTGGCGTATATACCTGCTCCGCTCACAATGACTCTGGCCATGCCTCCTGTGAAGCTCAGCTAACAGTTGAAGAAGGTAACTTTACATCATTGCATCAGTTTAGTGAACAAAATTATAGCAAAGACTAAGCAGCTTAGACAAGAAGTGTGATAAAAACAACAGTATTTTTAAGCAAAGTAAGAATATACTTTGACTTTTGTTCTCATAGTTCTCTGTACACAATGTATTTACTAACTGGAGTTTTTCTGTAGGTCTGCTTGATTCTCAGGAAAGAGAGTTGGAGCTGAGCAAGAGAAGGAAGTTATTTTCTGTCTACGATGTCCATGAGGAAATTGGAAGGTGATTCTGATGATCATTTGAATATTGTGATGTTTGTTTTGTTGTGATTTGTAACAAAAACTCATGTGTGTGTGTTTCAGGGGTACATTTGGGGTGGTAAAGCGTGTCATCCACAGAAGAACAGGGGAGGTGTTTGCTGCCAAGATTCTGCCTCTGCGGAGCAACACTCGGACCAGAGCCTTCCAGGAGAGGGACCTTCTGTCCCGTTTAGCTCATCCCAGGGTGGCCTGTCTGCTGGACTTCTTCTGCACCAGGCGTACGCTGGTGTTGATCACAGAAATGTATCCTCCATTTAACTGTGCAGTTTCCCAATCCTCACCACTGGTTTGACCATGTGCACACGTTTTTTTCCTGTGAATTCTTTAACGTTGTTTTTAGCTGCTGTTCTCATGGACTTCTAGACCATTTGTTGCTGAGAGGGCTGGTCTCAGAAAAAGAGGTAAACGTTCAAGTTTATCTTTACTGAAAAAGTATAAGGTCATTACAAATAGGATAACTTTTAAATAAATGTATGTTGCTTTTTTAGGTTGAGTTATATATCCAGCAAATTCTAGAAGGAGTTGGTCACATCCACAGTTTGAATATTTTGCATCTGGATATTAAAGTGAGTTTTCCAATCCACAAACTATTTAAATATTAACATTCATATTTGTCTCCCCATAGTTTCACTTTACGTTTATAATTTTTCTCTTTGCTTAGCCTGATAATGTTTTGATGGTGTATCCTCCAAGAGACGAGATCAAGATCTGCGACTTTGGCTTCTGCCAGGAAAAAGACACATCCCGACACCAGTACTGTGCGTTTGGTACACCGGAGTTTGTTGCGCCTGAGATTGTTCACCAAGAACCCGTCACTGTGGCCACTGATATTTGGTAAGCCTGTTGTTTATCTGAAACCTGCACTTTATTCGACGTGAAAATACATTTTTAAATAGTGATTTTATCTAAATGAGCTGATTATTTTTGTCAGAAGTTTAAGATTATTTGCATTTGAGCTAAAATATTTAGCAGTTAATGTTTAATTTTAGATTTAATCAATATATCTTGCTTTTTTTCTTCCATCAGGGCTGTCGGTGTCATTGCATACCTGTGGTACGTGTCAGTGCATTTTAAAAGAACTTAACATTTTAATAATGCCAAATAAAGAAAAAAAAATGCATATTCTATTAGTCCAATTTCTGTTTGTGTCTGATGGAGGGTTTTATACGTCTCTTTGCTTTATCTTGATAGTCTTGTGTGCCGATGCCCCTTTGTGGGTGAAACTGATCGTGCAACGTTGCTGAGAGTGGGAGAGGGAACTCTAAACTGGAACGCTCCCGACGTCACGTGCAGGAGCCCTGAAGTCCAGAATTTTCTTCATATGGTTCTTCAGCCAGATCCAGAGTACGACTGCAGTCATCTTTTCTGCAAAGCCTTAAAGCTAAAGATTGTTTATATTTTTTAACTAATGGCAATAGAGCAAACTCATCTGATATTTATCAGGTTTCAAATACAGTAAAAACATTTATCAGTTACACAAAATGTATGCAGTAAGGTGATTTTTTTTTATTGTATTACACCATGTTATAAATTAACCTAGGATTATTTAAAGCCACACGTTCTTATCACAGTTAGTATCAGAAGTATTCTTCACAGAAACAAAGAGTATCACTTGTTATTAATTATTGTCATGCTTTAGCTTCTGTGGCAGGTTTTATCTACAGTAGCAACAGTAAAATAGTTAATTTATTTTAGTGAGTCAATGCACACATTTAATAATTTCTAAATTTGCTGTACAGGAAAAGACCTTCTGCCTTTGAGTGCTTGAGCCACGAGTGGTTCCAGGTGAAATGAAATGCTTAGTATTTGTGTAATTCCAGCTTTGTGTTAATAATATGGTCTGACACACATATGCTTTATGATTATTGTCGCAGGATGAACATGCAGGAGAGGACACTGAACTAATCAACACAAAGAGTTTAAAAACCTTCATCTCTAAAAGAAAATGGCAGGTAAGTTGCTATGTTTGTTTAAATAATTGCTGAAACCTAATGATAAAATTCTTTCAAAATGCCATTTTTCCACCTATGTCCTCAGCGTTCTTTAACATGCATAGGATCGGTGCTCACTTTACGACCTATTCCTGAGCTGTTAGATGCTCCTCTCAGAGAAACTTCAGTGACAGTTCCCTGTGAGCCTCAGGAGCACAGCAGCACCTCCATGAGCAGTGGCTCCTCATCTGAATACGATGAGGCTGACTCCTGGGACTTTTTCCAACACTGCAGCCAAACCGAGGAGGAGGAGGAAGAAACAGAGGAAGAATATGATCCCTTAACGGAGAGAGGGCAGATCCCTGAGCCTTTTGCAAGACACCACTTGGAAAGAGAGGAGGATGAGGAAGGAACATTAGGGGAGGAAGAGGATGGGAACATGTTGGGAAGGAGGAGTGTTGTGGAGCTGAGTGTGAGCAGGCAGTCGCTTGCATCGTCAACAACAACAGAACAGCTGACGCCTCAGAGGGAGCGACGCTTCAGTAAGGACAGTACTCCATCTCTCTGTTTCTCTGATGGAGATGAGGGTTCAGGGAGTGATGGAGGGCGCATCCCTCGAGGGAGGGTTATCCGAAGCACCTTCTACAACACCTCCCAACAGCTTTCACCAATGTCTGCCAGACACATGACCTTAAGAGATAAGTTCCAAGCTAAAAAGCAAGAAAGAGGCCGCAAGCCTCTCAGGAGGAGCCTCTCAGGACGTCTCAGTGAGCCTCTCATTGAATATGTGGAGGATGAAATGGAGAGCGGCCGTGGACAGAGACGAGGATCCATCCAGCCTACCATGCAGAAGTCCTGCTCGTTTGACAGCGGAGTGGGGCTTCTCCAAGCCAATCTACCCCCTCACAGAAGGAGCAGGTCTCTAGATGATCATTCCCGCCGATCTGCCAGCTCACCCAGCCATGCAAAGAGAGAGAAAGAAGGCTCTCAGAATACAGAGGATGACTTCACGGATGATGAAGCGACAGGGAGAAACTCACTTGTGATTCCCAGCCCTCAACAGGCCACAAGAAGAAGAGGCTCTGTTGCTCCAGTACACAATGGTGGGTCGTCTCTGCCTTCTGAATTCCTTGCTGGAAACCGAATGATTTCAATGTTAGAACAAGAGCAGACAGAGCGACAAACCATTGCCAGTTCCCAAGGGTCTTTGGCTGAGTCCTTTATTTTGGAGCATGGCAGCTCTGAATCTTCAAGTAGGCTTGGTTCCTTTGAAGAGCTCAGTCATGATCAGCTTGGTAGAATATACAGATCAGGAGAGAGTGAGGAATATGACGAACAGGGTGAACCCCTGATTTCACCTTCTCCTTACTCATTTCAAGAATCAAAGCCCAGAGGCTCATTTCCTCAGGCACCGCCACGTAATCGCACAAGGTCTAATCCAAACTTATCAGCCAGCAGCAGAGGTCAGACCAGGATGTCGGCAACACCTAGTCCCAGTCCCAGCCTCTCCTCTCTACAGGGGCCTGAGAGGCCTCCTAGAGTCAGGGACAAGAAGGCGAGCTCTGGCCTCCAAAGGCATGCATCTGCTCCAGTCCTTGAAGTCAGGCCAAGCCCAGGACAGTCACCCAAACTAGGACTCTTGAAGATCTTCCGCAGGCAGTCCTGGACTGGCCATTCCTACTCCCAGCTGGAAAACACAGAGTTAGGACCCACACTGGGAGAGATCATGAAACCTGATACACCTACACTGTCTCTGAGGAAGAGGATGAGAGCTTCAGCCTCCAGTCTGACCAAACTGTTTTCCAAGTCCACCAGTAAGGAGGATTTGAGCAAGGGAGGTGAGTTACAAATTAGCATTATTGGTACAATATTCTAAGCAAAATATCATACTTTTGATGTATTCAGTCACAAGTGGGGAAATGTCAGCAAAGGCACCACTAAAAAGATATACAGTAGTCCCTTGATTATTGCGGGGGTTACATTCCAGACAACACCGCAATAAGATAAGTGAAAAACCACAAAATAGGAAAGCCATATTTATTTGAGTATTTATCAGTGCCTAATTTGAGCCGGATCCTGCCAGAACAAGATCTGGGAATTCTCTCATTTTGACCAAGTGCATTCTGGCAACTGTTTGCTTGAATCCGGCAATTCAAATCTCCACCCTTAAAAGCTCAAAGTCATTGCGCATTTTAATTTTGATTATTTATTAAAAATACAACGAGAGGAGACGTTGCTCCGTCTGTGTAGTGGATATTACGGCTGCAGCAGGCACATCAGCTCGCGCACGCGATCCTGCCGAGCAGAGACGCGGATAGCTTGTCACACGGGGATGAAGCGTCTTCATCGATATGGCAAGCCAAGTGGACCATTAATGTCTAGACATGTGGCAAAAGTGGCTATTAATGGGCCACTTGGCTTGCCATTTTTACGCACAGGAACGTCTCCAGACAGCTCTGAGCATGCACAACTGCTGATTTTGAACTCATGCATACGTTTCAGACATAATTTTAAAAAAGCTTAGCTACAGTAAAAAGAAAATACAACGAGATAAATGTTTGATGTGTATTAGTCAAATTAATCACATATTAAAACAACGATGCTAATTTGTCAAAATAACAGCAATCAAAATGTTGAAAAGACAGTCCAGTTTACTTTCATTAAATAAATGGATTGTGATGGATGGATTTTCCTTAGATGGACAACTGAGAAGGCTGTTGCATTTGAGCTAGGAGCAGCAGGATCAACAACGCGCAGGAATGCATTAAGCAGAGAAGAGTTCGGCTCAGAAACGTTGGTTACGTACTGTAACCCCAGATTCTATGAGTATAGGCTTCGCCCTTTAAGGCTATCGCTAGTGGGTTAAAGACGAAGCAGGATGTAGTCTATGCCTCAATTGGTCCACTCAGACACAACATGAAGCAACTACTTGCACAAAAAAATATCTCATCACTCAGCCTTCTGTGTGCATAATTACGCGCTGCGTAATTGCGTGCTACATGCGCAGGAGCGCACCGGAGAAAAGATCTCTGGTGAGGAAAAAAGGCTGAGATAGCAGACCTGCTGCTGTGAATAGGAACAACGGAGGATACGAATTGTAACAGTGCGATAAACAGAGCAGACCAACAGCTCCCAAGGATGAACTGATTAATAACGATAAAATCAGCAGTCATGAACTTGTGAGTGACTGATAATAAATATTTCACACTGCGATTGCATGCAGCCAGGTGTGAGCTCAAAAGTGAAGCTCCATGAAACAAATAATAATAATTCTGTCAGAACCCTGAGAACAGAATTGGTCATGGAGAAAGTAGAAACATCACGTAGATAAAAATGAATAATTGAACATGGCAATGACCAGGCAGCCGCCATACAAATATCTTCCACTGTCATCCCTCCATGCAGAGCCATGAAGGATGAAAACCATCTGGTGGAATGTACTCTGAGATTCTCTGGAGGGTCCAGCCCAGATGAACTGTAAGCTTCAGAAATAGCCTCACATAACCAGTGTGAGAGGCGCTGGGTGGATAGAGGATGTCTTGAAGAGCTGTCCCAGTAATGCACGAACATACGCTGAAAGCGGCGCAGTGCGGCCTTGTGCGCCACGTAACATGAAAAATGTGCGCATGGGACAGAAGGAGGTGAGATGTTACTTCCTCCTCAAAATTATGAGGAAGAGGATAAAACCCATCCAAGGTTATCATTCTCGATCTGAATGAGCTTGTGATGCTTCTCAGAGCAGGGCTAAAACGCAGTACAGCTGAACTGCCGTCAGCTTGAATTCTGAGACATGAGGGAGCAACGGAGATAGCAGATAATCACTCACTCTCTTTGCCAATGTCAAAACTAACAGCAGGGCTGTTTAAAATGACAGAAATTTAAGTGAAACCTGATCTAAAGGCTCAGAAGGAGCTTTGATCAGAGTGTGCAGGACCATCATTAGGTCTCACTGTGGAGCTAGTGGACGTGACACAGGTCTGTGTCTCCATACACCTTTCAGGAAACGCTTCATCAATGGGCGATTAAGAACTGTTTTGTCACCGAAGCCCTTGTGACAGGAAGAAATAGCTGCAGCATAAGTTTCAATTGTGCTGAACGCTTGATCTCTGTCCATCAGCTGCTGCAGAAAAGACAGCATGCCACCTAGTGGCCATGAGATGGCCTCCACGCCTTTCTCTGCACACCAGCGCTAAAAAACTGTCCACTTGATGTGTACAGCATTGTGGTGGAAGCAGCTCGTGTGCCTGAACGTACGCACCACATCCTGTGGGAGGCCCATCTTTTCTAAAACAGATCTGTTCAACGGACAGACCCAAAAATGCTGACCTATTTCTGGGTAACTCCTGATCACTCTTCCTGCCTGGAGGAGAGTCGCCCCTCGACATGATATCCACTCGCCTGTTCAGGACGCTGGGAAAGTACACTGCACTGATGGGGAACAGGTTTCTGTGTGGCCAACACAACAGCTGTTTCGCAATGTGTAACAGTTGGGCTGAGCGCACGTCTCCCTGACGGTTTATGTAAACTGCTGTCACCTTGTTGTCTGTGTGGATCAGAAAATGCTGATCCCGCAGCAGGGGCAAAATGCTGAGTCACGTTTCAGACCGTGAAAAACATTCTAGCACATTTATGTGAAGCGACATGTGGTCCAGCCACTGTGCTCCCACTGTTTGGGACAGACACATTCCTCCCAGCTTGACAGGAACACGTCTGTGAAAAATGAGATGTGTGACATAGGCCTGCTGATGGGAACTCCCTCTGACAGAATGAGAGGGTTTCCCCAGTGATTCAGATCAGTTCTCACGGAGGGGGGCACAAAGATAATTCACCTCTTCTGGTGCACAGGATCTATGCGCAGGCGGGCGAACCATCTCTTAAGGCGTCTCATGTGAAGTAGGCCCAGTGGAACCACGATGTGGGCCGCTGACATCTTCCCACGAGTCGCATGACAGGCAGAACTGTCACTAAGCTGTAGGGTTTGACACGGCGGAGCTGGGTTTGACACGGCAGAGCTGAGCTGACAGTGCTTCGGCTCTCAGCTGTGATAAACGGGCTCTCATTGTAGTTGAGTTTAGCTCCACTTCCAGATAAACAATCATCTGGGACGGACGAACGGAAGTTTTTCCCAGTTCATAGAAACCCCAGGTTTAGCAGGTGTAACACTAGCATTTTGGTCTGTGCGACTGCTTCCTATCTGGACCGAGCTAATAAGAGCAGATCATCCAGATAAAAAGAATTCTCATTCCTTCCATGTGTAACGACTGCAGAGCCGTCTCCACGCATTTCGAGAACGTGCGTGGGGTGTTTCAGAATGATGGAAATGTGAAAATATGCGCTCTTCAGATCTATGGAGGTGAAAACCAGTCATTCTGGTGAAGTTCTCTAGCAGCTGTTTGTCAGCATGTGAAATTGTCTCCCTATGATCCAATTGCTGAACATGAACAGGTCGAGAATGGGTCTCATCCCTCCGGTTTTTTATCAGAACCACGAAGTAGTGGGAGGAAAAAAAAACTTATTTTCCTCTCCGTTGGGGACTCTGGAAATCTCGTTTTTTGTCAGAAACTCCTGAACTTCTGACTGGAGAGATGAGTTCTGTTCTGGAGAAGACAGAATCGTCTCTATGATCCCTCTGAACGGTGGGGGTTGAGCTGCGAACTGCAGCGTGTAACCCCTTCTGATCAGACGGTCCATCCATCTGTCCAGGGAACACACTCGCCGCCACTCTGAGTAACGCTCGGAGAGCGGGCACGCATTTGTGTTGTGTCATGTTTCTCATGAACGTCAACCAGACTAAAAACCCTTACTGTCATCACTCGCTCCAGAGATTCTCCAGGGGGAATCCAAGGAGTGCTCCGACAGAAAAAAGGGCTGTATGTGTGTCTCTGTGCTGAGCCCAGGCTGCAGTCTCACATAGAGCTGAGGTGAGACGGCGCGCACTGAGAGGAGGCGTAAGCGCTTTCTGAGTGAGATGCCGTTTCGGTGGAGGCTGCAGCTGTCATGGAGAAAACACATTTACTCCTGCTGCGCTGTGAGTGGGCAGAAAACAGCAGAAATTAAAAACAGGCTCTGGCTGAAAACGGGGGATTTTACCAAACTCGGTCTGCTGAAAAAAACATAATTTTAGCTGACGTGGCAGACGAGTGTTTGTGATATTTACTGAACTGAGGTGCCATTTAAAATGCTGTTTTGAAGTTACTGGCTCATTCTGTGTGGGGAATGTTTGAAGAGAGGCAGCTGTGAGCTCAGCTGATCTGACAGTCTCAGATGAAAAAAAAAACTTCACTGTCAGAGATGTTTCTGTTTTATATCAAAAAACATACATCATCAAAAACACATACTTTCCCCTCAAGGATCTGTTACCTGGTGGAGGGGGCCAGCGGAGGAGTGGGGCGTGAAGCCGCTGCCACAGCTGTGGAGCACCTCTGCTGCTGTTGCTGGCCAAGGCGGTCCCTTCAGCGGCCGGAGGAGCGAGAGGAGGACTGTGACGTCACCAGATGGTGTACAGTCTCTGAGACCTCCTCGGACCTCTGCGATTTCTCAGGGATGGTCCTGAAGTTGGCCCCAAACAGCACCTCTGGGGTGGCACATGTTTAAGATGACATCAACAGCTTTACAGAGAGAGCTCTTTGTCTCCTCCAGCAGGTCTGCTTCCTCCAGCCTCTTAGAGATGCTGTAGGCCAGCAGGGTGACGTTGTTGTTTGCAGTGGCCATCTGGAATGTGCACTGGTGAGCTTGGATGGAGACCATGTCACCATCTGGTCATGTTTCCCTGGAGGGACAGGTTTCTGGTCCACCCTGGAAGATTTGACCCAAGTGCCACCACCAGTCTTGGCTCCGGGGGCAGGGGGGACCAAGGGAAAAAACACAGATCGGTAAAACCCTCCACTCTGGAGATGGAGGTGAAGGTGGAGACGGATGTCTTCAGCTTGCTGGGCCCAGCTGCAGCCTCGTTCCAGTGTGATGTCGCAGCTAGACAACAATGCCAGATGGAGTCAGGGTGACAAGCCGGGGCAGAGCTAACCTTGCCGCCAGATTATCCGATCAGGGCAGAGGGAGGCAAGGAACAGAAAGTCCCTTGTGTTAACATCCTCTTGGATTATGCTGGGCAGCTCCGAGAGGAGGGCGCCGACGGTTGGGAGCAGTGTGGTCGCTGACGTGGGAAGATCAGAGGTGGCTGAGCATCTGCTCGGCCACTCGTCTTCCGTCACTACGCTCTTCAGGAGGGAAGGGGCAGCTCCGCATCGCCTTTCTTGGAGGAATCATTCGATTCACTGCGTGACTCTGCGTCAAAGAAGGCGGTGGCATCGTCCCGCGCATAGCGTCCCGCCACAGAAAAAAACATTCAGAGGAGTTGCTGTCAACAACGCCTTTTTAAAGGGAATTATCCTATTCACCTCAATACAAAAACACGTTAGAAAAGGCGGTGACGTCGTCCAGCAAGTAGCGGCCCTCCAGGGAAAAACATTCAGCGGGGCTGCTGCTAACATCGCCTTTTGAGGAAATCATTCGATTACCGCAAGGAAAAAACACGTTACAAAAGGCGGTGGCGTCGTCCAGCGGGTAGCGGCCCTCCAGGGAAAAACATTCAGTGGGGCTGCTGCTAACATTGCCTTTTTCGAGGATATCATTCAATTACCGCGAGGAAAAAACACGTTAGAAAAACAAGTTTTCCTTCTTCATTCTTCTGACAGTGCTAGCTAGCTGGCTGAAGAAAAAATGGGAGCCAATTACCCGGTATCACCGTAATTTATACGGACCGGGGATGAGGCCCACACAGTAGGTGGGCGTGGACTAAAGTTTTCAGTGCTGCGCTGCATGCGTAGGGATAAACCCACTAGCGATATCCTTAAAGGGCGAAGCCTATACGAAATAGAACATGAAGTGTGTGTGTGGTGGTAGTGGGTAGAATGCTTGACAGAATCGTAGCTGCTCTATTCACACACAACCTGTTGTTGCTCTCTAAAGTAGTAATATAATCAAGCATTTACAAATGTAGGTAAACGTAGATGTTTAACAACACGTTAAAATAGGTTACACCAAAATGCAGGAAATAGTATCTACTTTATTCAAAAATTTAAGGGGGAGGAGGGCCCACAAGCTCCCTCCACTTCCCCTGCTCCCCTCTGCACAGTGCACCCTCCTCCTCCGCACCCTCACACCCACCGGCCCGCAACCCCCACCCACCACCACCACCAGCCTGCCCACTATTTACGTTCCGGTATCAATCAGTTTAAAAATTCTGCCCTGGTATTTATTATATATTAAGGCTTTATAAACCCTTCCCACACTCTTGTAATGTTCTAAACTCTTAAACCTACATCATTTTAACAACATACCTACAGTACTGTACAGCAGCTGCAGCAAAATTTTATATGGGTACTCACCAGCAGAAGAACAGCAGCTGCAGCTAGGTTCCAGTTCGGCAGATCTACCCTGCAGCATGAAAAGCTCACTGTACCATCCAGGTTGATGTGCACGTGCTGCTGCTCCTCCCGTCTGCTCCCGTAAATTTTTTACCCCGTGCTGTCCCCATCACATGAGTGATATTAAAGTTGACAGTCATGTATCATGCACAATCTTATGTTGAAAAACCGCAAATGTGCGAGTCGCGAAAGTCGAACCACGAAGTAGCGAGGGACTATTGTATATGGTTGTTACTGATGTAAATGTTTTTTATTTAGTGTTATATTTCCATTATTAAAGGGTCAATAGTGAAAGGATCAGCTCCAGTCCCACCTGAGAGAGAGCATAGCAGCAGTGGTCTCGACAATAAGAGAGGCTCAAAACTTTTGTCTTCTTTCAAACTACCAGCTTTAAAAAAAACAAAAGGTACCCAAAATGGACACTCCTTTCATTCGTATTGTTTATATATATATATATATATATATATATATATATATATATATATATATTTGGTAAGTTTCACATTAATATATTTTATAATAAAATTGCAATAAAAGTCTTTGTTTTTCTCGTTTTTAACATTTGCATCTGTCAGCTCGCCCTAACAAGGCTGACGTGCTGCAGTTACATGGAGGTGGAGTTCTGCTGGTGTGGAGGCCCGTTCTGTGTCCCGACCCTGTCACTTACTGTGTGCAGTACTGCACAGACGGTGGGTTTGAAGAGAGGCTATTTTATTGATTCAAAATAGTTTTGCAATTCATGGCAAATTATTGTTTATACCAGACTCGCACATTAATTTATTTTAATACTGACTTAAATTGTATTGGTTTTTCGCAAGTTGATTTTTTTTTCTCATAATTTTTCTTTTACAATAATTTCAGTTTAAGCAAAATTTTGTGTCAAATGTCTAATTTATCAGTAACTTTTTTATCTTTGATCATTTTAACATTTTAAACTCAAGTACTAGTTGTATTTAATGGCAAGTGTTATCAACTATCAAATGAGTTGCGTAGTGTGGTAATAATTGTATTCATATTTATTTCATTTCTTTATCTATTTTATGTTTTGAAAGTAGGAATTGGATGGGTTTTGTGAAATTGTGCTTTTTTTTTTTTTAGGCAGATATAGTTACATTATTTATATCTGACCTTATGTGCATTTACTCACACAATAGTAGCATTCTGAGGTTTTAGCATTTCCTTGTACTCCTCAGTCACTCTGACACAGAGCAAAGACCATTTCATTTCACATATCCAAAGTAACATGAAGTCAAACATTAATGTCAAATTTATTTATTAAAACAACAAATGATGGTCAAATCGCTTCAAAGAAGATGGTGAAATACATTTGGTAGATGTGTCTCATGATCTTGCTGTCTCCTCAGGTGGGGATTGGACAGTTGTGTCAGATGAGGTGGCAGACAGCTGCTACGTGGTGAAGGACTTACTCAAAGGAGCGTCATATGTGTTCAGGGTGGGCTGCATCACCAAGAAGGGCGCTGGACCTTTCAGTGACGCTTCAACTCCTATTGTCATGGCTGCTCATCCTGAAGGCAAGAAAATCTGTCTTGAGTTGAGCATGTATGATCTTTTTCTTTCTCTCTGATTTTATTATCAGAGAGCATGGTTTGGAGATGAAGCAGATGAATGCTTCAACAGCTGGGAGTGCTGAGTACACACAGAAGCTTTTCTTCAGTTTTATTTTTTGTTATTTCACAGAGATCCGTGTTCCTCTTATTCAGACTGAGCTACTTGGGTCAAAGGTCCCTGGAACAGAGCATCAAACAATAAAGCATCACTACAGCTTCCTCTCTGAGATCAACAGGTAGCTTTTACACTGTACCCTGTGGTTTAGATTATTTTTTCATTCAACTTTTATTTAGACAGGTAAATCCCAATGAGCTTCGAGGACTCATTTACAAGAGAGATCTGATTTCAACAAAGAATGATGACAACAATGGACAACAGCGACAGCAATAGACAGTTCTAAAAGGCATACAGATTTTCTTTTTTTTTTACAATTAAGATGCCAAAAAGAGTAGCAAAACAGCTAGATTATAAGGTGAATGTAGAAAACTAAAAACAGGCACATGTCTGCATTGGTCCTTGCCAGGAGGCCAACAGATTTTTAAAGCCACTTAGAGAGGTCAAGGTCGAGAGCTTCGGATCTTTTTTAAGATATTATTTGTCTGTTTTGAAAGTAAATTGGTCTTAGTGTCTTACATGCACGTTCCATTCATTGAGGGTGACCTGAACCAGCATGTTGAACAGAACCAGTCCCAGCCTGTAGAGCATTGTATTTCCTCTTGTGCTCATTTGCCACCTTGTCATCAAACCTCTAATGTGTCCCATGTTTTTACAACTCTCAGGGGTCGTTTCAGTGTGATAAACTTGTGCAGGGATGTCGAAACCAGCCGGGTGTTTGCTGCTAAAATCTCTGCCTACCAGGCAGAGCAGAGACAACTGGTGCTGCAGGAGTACCAGCTGCTGAGGAGACTTAACCACCCTCACCTGGTTCAGCTGCACACAGCCTTCATCACCCCCAGCTATGTGGTGTTAGTGGAAGAGCTCTGTCCTGGCAAGGAGCTGCTCCACAGTCTGGCTATGAGGTAAACAAAGTGCTCAGAAATAATAGCTGTGACTCCTGTGCTCGACTGAACCACAGCAAGTTTAAATGTCCTTTGTCTAGACTGGACTATTGCTATGGTTTATTATCTGGGTGTCCAAATAATTTTTTAATGTCTCCAGTTGATACAAAATGCTGCTGCCAGAGTCTTAACTGGAGTTAGTAGGAGAGATCATGTCTGTTCAGTTTTAGCTTCTTTCCATTGGCTTCTTGTCAAATCCAGAACTGAATTCAAAATCTTACTTCTAACCTACAAAACCCTCAACAACCTAACTCCATTTTATATTAGAGATCTTATTGTTCCATATTTTCCTAACAGAGCAATTCCCTCTTAAACTGCAGGCTTGCTTACGGTTTCTAGAGTTCCCAGAAGCAGAATAGGAGGAAGATCTTTCAGTTATCAGGCTCCTCTCTTGTAGAACCAACTTCCAGTTTCTGTCCATGAGGCAGACACATTGTCCAGTTTTAAGACTGGGCTTAAGACTTTCCTTTTTGATAAATCCTATAGGTAGGGTTGGCTTGTTATGCTGCCATAGGCTTAGACTACTGGAGGGCAAATTAACCTACTTTCTTAAAATCAATTGAATAGTTTTCATTTAATACTGTTTCTATCTTAACATGTGATTTTCGACCTGCCATTGTGTGTCTGTTCCTCCTTCCTGTTCCTCTCAAACCCAGCCGGTCAAAACATATGGTCGCTTGTCCTGCGCCTGGTTCTGCTGGAGGTTTCTTTCTCATGAGGGTGTTTTTCCTTTCCACTGTTGCCTTCGTGCTTGCTCAAGAGGAGAGTCTGTGATGGAGTTAAACTCAAAGTAGTCTCCTCCTCAGATAAATAATGTTATTAACTTACTTACTTGTGTCTATGAATGTTTTCTGTTCAGTGCTCTGAGATGACTTCTGTTGTGACTTGATGCTATATAAATAAACTGAACTGTTATGCCATAATTTCAGGACTTTAGTTGGGAATGGTAGCTCGGTCTCTCTCTTACATACTGGTAATCTATATTTACAGTATATATTCCTGTATATAATTATATCGTGTTGCAGGTTAAGTTGAGCAAACCTGTCTGTGTTTCCCTTCAGAGATCTGTATTCAGAGACTCACGTCACAGAGCTGTTGATGCAGATTCTGAGTGCCGTGGACTATCTTCACAGCCGTCGGATCATCCACCTGGACCTGAAGTCTGACAATATGCTGGTAGACGACTGCAACCACCTGAAGATTGTTGATTTTGGCTCAGCTCAGTCCTTCATACCTGGACAGCCTCTCAACATTGAGCACATTCATGGCCCCTCAGACAGCAAAGGTTGCATTATTTATTCTGTATTCACATAATGTGCATGAATGTGAAGTATTGTTTGGCACATGGTAGATTGTAGATGTTTCTAATATACTCAACCTTTGATTGTCATGGCCTTCCAACAGACTGCTGCAGGAAAGGTACACTTTCTTTAAGGGAAGATGAAATGACTGATGGATGGAAATATCTGAGCCTAATTTCATCATCATTCACAACGATCCTACCATAACTATAACAAAACCAAGTTCATTTTCTTATCATTTATTTTCAACCTTTTACACCCATAGTCGTGTTTTTTATATAAAAAAAGAGTCAAGTATGTTAGTGAAGCTGACAATGCCTGACTGAACACAACATTTTATAGATGATGTCCTGTTTCTCTTTGTTTTTTCAGTTTATATTGTTCTTCCTAAAGCTCCAGAGATCCTGGAGGGTCATGGAGTCGGGCCTGAGACGGATATTTGGGCTATTGGAGTTCTGTCATTCATCATGTATGTGCAAAGAAAACATGTAGAAAAGTTGCATGCATGAAGTTTTACTGAAGAGGATTTTGATTTGTTCGTGTACATTTGACAAAAACAAAAGTTGTTTTGGAAATTTGTCCTAAGTAGCTTATCTAACAGGAAAAATTAGGATTTTTTTTTTTCATGTTTTGCGTCATCAGGTTGAGCGCTGACAGTCCATTTCACTCAGACCTCAGCTGGGAGCAGGACAAAAATATAAAGAAAGGGAAGATCCAGTTTGGACGCTGTTATCCGGGTCTGTCAGAGGGAGCCTTGAACTTCATGAAGAGCAGCCTGAACAACAAATCCTGGTCAGTGTCTCTGCATGATGCTACCAGTAATTAGCTTTAAGGCAAAATGCAAAAAAAGCTGTTTGTACAAAAAAATACAGAAAGATTACATTATTCTGTTGTGATGAAAAAACACTTTGTAGGGGGAGACCCACGGCGGCCGAGTGTCTCCAGAACCCGTGGGTGCGTGCTCATCGGGGCCCACTCAAAACCCGGTACTCCAAAGTGTGTTTCTCCACAGACAAGCTCAAAGTTTACCTCCAGCAGAAAGAGGAGAAACGAGATCAAGTGCGCACAAAGCTGCAGGGTCCGTCCTTTCAGTGAAAAAATGGTGAAAGAAAAACATTTGTACTTTTTTTTTTTACTTTACTGCCTTACATTTTATTTAAGCTGTTTTCTGAATGCATTTTTCTGGAGAGCTAGAACCTGCCTGCTTTATAAAGTCTTTATGTTGTTCCCTGATCCTAAACATGCAATTTGTCTTAATGAGATGCAGTGTGTACTTCTGTGGAAAGATGTGTGTGTGTGTGTGTGTGTGTGTGCTTCATGAACACACATCAGGGGTAAAACTGTCGAAGCAACAATTGCACAGAAACGTGTGTGTTGTAATATTTTGATGCTGCCATCAAGAGTTTTTCATCTGCAGCACAGGTTTGGTGCTTAAAGTTAAAGTGTTTTCCTTAATATTCTGGAAAGAAGAGAGAAAAATATCAGGAATGTATTAACTTTTGACATGATTACCCAGATCACGAGTAACCCTCCTGCTGTGCTTGGGTCAAAACGACCCTGAGGCCTCAGTTTTTAAACAGGCCTCGGGTCATATTGACTCAAGGGCAGCAGGTTAAGATTTTCTTGGATGCTTCAGTTGTACTGGGTTAACTCCTCATCCTGTAGTGAGTCAAAAACATATTAAACCATACGCTCTGTTACTATGAGGATTTTCTTTCTTCTTTTTGCTTGTATAGAGAATGCATAAACACCCTTCATGCACAGGATGTTTTAGTCCTGTAGCTAAATAAGCAGACCTTTTGATAATACTTTTGTACGTGAATTAAATTATTTTAGCTTCTGTAAAACAGAGTAAAACAAATGATGTAACAAATGTCTAAAAACTGACTTGGGCAGCTTTTCCACACATATTTTGAAGGTTTTTGTGAAGAGGTTATAAACAATTTACATCAAACCTGTTGTAGATAGCTCCTTGAAGCGCAGTTTGGTCAAATCAAGTTTAATTTTTAAATGGGCTGATGAACTAATCCAAACAGGACTAAAACCAGCGATCATCTATAACAACTCTGGCTTCAAATTTTTCATGACACTTTATACAGCACATGGCTTAGAAATTACCGAGTTGTTTTAGTTTAACATTTTTAACAAAGTGGCAGATATATTTGCATAGTAGAAATCATGTGGTTAATTTTACTGAGGTAACTTAAATTTCTAATCTCTTACTTAAAAAAATGACATACCGGTAATTAACCCCAGACTTGCTTATTTTCATCTTTCTATGAAATCTACTACGCAAATTTTAAGAGAAGTTTAGAGGGAGAGAAAACAAAAACAGTCCTGTCTTTATATGAGTTTATTTCAGATGAATTCAGATCAATATCAAATTTTTTCAAATAACACATAGCAAAAAAAAAAGTATTTTTTTAAATCCTTTTACTTGGCTTCCTGAACCTTTTGGATTTCCTGTGGAGATAAAAAAGCAATAAAATTGTATATACTATTTAAAAAAATTATAGTCTTTATGGGTTTACATACTTCATTGAGGATTGCTTTCAGCTCCTCGTAGGCTTTCTCTAAGTCATCATTGATGATAACAACGTCAAACACTCCAGGCTCTTTACCTAAAAAAATAAAATTAGTAATAATAATAACCATTTTTTTGTGTTTTTAATAGTAGTGTCCACTTTCAGCTAAACTAAAGAGATACTTACTGAGCTCCATATCAATGCGTGCAGCCTCCAGACGTTTCTGTAAACTCTCCTCTGTTTCTGTCTGCCTGTCTCTCAGTCGTTTTTCCTGAGAAAGACAACAAAATGTGACATTTCTAGTTTAACAGCTGCTTTAGGAAACAACAGTAGGAACAACATGTCATTAAAATTATTCATTGTGAAACACTTCTAAACTGTATCAATCTTTTTTATAAAAATTTGACATTTTAAATCAAATTCAACCAAGTCTAGCACTGATCATCCATCCATCCATCCATTATCTTTACCCGTTTATTCCATTTTGGGTCACGGGGGTCGCTGGTGCCCATGTCCAGCAATCACTGTGCGAGGGGCGGGGTACACCCTGGACAGGTTGCAAGTCCATCACAGGGCCACATAGAGACAAACGAGACAAACAACCATTCACTCTCTCACTCACACCTAGGGACAATTTAGTTACCAATCAGCCTAACATGCATGTTTTTTGTCTGTGGGAGGAAACCGGAGTACCCGGAGAAAACCCATGCATGCACGGAGAGAACATGCAAACTCCACCCAGAAGGCCCCTGGACCGGGGTTTGAACCAGGGACCTGCTCGCTGAGAGGCAGCAGCTCTACCAGTTGCGCCACCGTGCTGCCCTAGCACTGATCATGAAAAGGTGAATTTAAGTGGTGAAACAAATAACCTTAGTTAAATATAATGCATTAAGTGAAACATTTACCAGGACCTCCATGGATGGAGGTTGGATGGAGATGTATATGGGGTCCAGGTCTGTCTCCTTAATTCGCCTCACCCCCTGAATGTCCACATCAAGGATGCAAATCAAGTTTTTGGCACGTACGTCTTCCACAGCAGCCTTACTATCATTTTAAAAATAAAAAGAAAGAAAAAACAGGAGAGTTGCAAATAAAGAAACTGAAAGTAAGAAGGTTGCTGCATTGATTCAAGCTGCTTGGATTCAATGTGTTAGCTTCAGAATAAGGAGAGATTAAACAAGACTCAGGAGATGCTAATCTGCTATGTTGCTCTTTTTGACTTACAGGTTAAAGCTCCATCTGTCACCAGGTCAATATACAGTATATTCCTGTAATGCTTGTTACAAAGGTCATAGTATCTTTTGTATTAGGTCAGTATTAGTATAAGTATCCCTGATGCATATTTATGTTTTTCCTTTTTTTTAAAGTTATTGAATTAAAATACACATACTTAAGATGGCCAAACAGTGGCATCAGGAAACCTCACCCAGAAAAGGGAAACTGGGGAATCTCAGGCCAGGGGTAGCTTGCCACTGAGTGCCTAGTGGTCGACCTTTAGCCCCTGTGGTTGAATCAAGCCAAGCCTGGAGAAAGGACAGGAAGCCACCACCACATAGGCCCACCACCTGTGAGGAGGTCCATCAAGGTTGGGTGCAATGAATTCCAGGTGGCAGGCGAGGGAGGGTCCCTGGCCATGCTGACTCTTGGCAGCATAGATTGGCTCCAGGGACGTGGAACATTTCTTCTCTGGTGTGTAAGGAGCCAGAGCTTGTGTGTGAGGTTGAGCAGTACCAAATATATATAGTTGGGTTCGCCTCTAGGCACAGCTTGGGCTCTGGAATCCAACTCCTGGAGAGGAGCTTGACACTCTCGTACTCTGGAGTTGCCCTGGGAGAGAGGCATCAGGTTGGTGTGGGTATACTCACAAGCCCCTGGCTAAATGCCTTAGTGTTGGAGTTGTTCCCGGTGAGCGTGAGGATTGCCTCTCTGTAGCTTCTGGCTGCAGGAGGGAAGGTTATGACTGTTGTTTGTGTGTATACACATCAGTTCAGATTACCCAGCTTTTTTGGCGTCTCTGGGTGGTGTTCTGGAAGGGGTGCCATCTGGGTAGTCCCTCGTGCTACTGGGTAACTTCAATGCCCAATGTGGACAATGATGGAGTTATTTGGAAGGAGGTAATTGTGCAGAACGGCCTCCCTGATCTGAACCCAAATGGTGTTTTTTTTTTTATTGGAATTCTGTGCTAGGCACGGGCTCCACAATTAACACCATGTTTGAGCATAGAATGGTTCACAAGTGTACTTGGTACCAGGCCATCTTAGGCCAAAGTTCAAAGATCAATTTTGTAATCATGTCATTGGACTTGCAGCCCTATGTCTTGGACACTCATGTGAAAAGATGTTAACGAACGTTAAAGATCTGTTAACGGATCACCACTTGGTGATGAATTGATGGTGTCAGACAGATCTGATAAAACCAAACATATAGTGAGGGTGAACTGGGAACACTCTGCTCGACTGTCTGACTGACATCAGGGACTGTTTGGCTTTAAACTTCTTAAGTTTCAATGAAAAGAAGTCTGAAGTCATGTTGTTCCCTCCCAATGACACGATCACAAACCACTGCATCGACCTCTCCACTCTAACCCTGTCAGAAAAACAAAGAGTCACTAATCTGGGAGTGATAATGGACCCTTCCCTGAAACTTAACAATCATGTAAACATGATTGTTAAATCATGCTTCTTCCAACTGAGGCGGCTGTCTAAACTGAAGCCCATATTGTCCAAAAAGAACCTGGAGACAGTAATACATGCATTCATTACATCTAGGCTTGATTACTGCAATTCACTCCTGTTTGGTATCAGTCAAACCTCCATAGCACGACTACAACTTGTCCAGAATGCAACAGCTCGATTTTTAACCAGTACAGGCAAAAGAGAGCACATTACACCAGTTTTGGCCTCCCTGCACTGGTTACCAGTTCACTTTCGAATCCCGTTCAAAATACTCCTGTTTGTCCACACATCACTAAACAGTTTCGCCCCCCTTATCTCTCTGATCTGCTACAACCGTATGTCCCACCATGTTCCCTGAGGTCAGCGGACCAGTTGCTCCTCACAGTTCCAGGAACTCATCTTAAGCGCAGAGGTGACAGGGCCTTCTCTGTAGCAAGACCAAGACTCTGGAATGAGTTACCTCTGCTTGTCAGACAGGCCCCCTCCCTCTCGGTTTTCAAGTCCCGTTTAAAAACTCACTACTATTCAGTAGCATTCAAC